GCGCCGGAAGCGCTGCCCTGAGCGGTTTTCCCCGACGGCGGCGGCGGCGGCGGGGTTTCCGTTATGGAAGGCCCAGGCCCGGGCTCGAGCTGTTCGGGCTCGGGGGCCGTGGGGCGGCTGCTGACGGAGGACGAGATGGCCGAGGTGAAGAAGGATGTAAGTGGTGGCCGTGGTGCGGGCCGAGATGCCGCAGCGCACGGGGCTGGGGTGGGGCCGGGGCCCGGGCCCGGGCGGGCGAAGCGGAAGCGCTGTCAGAGCGGGGGGAAGCCGCCGCGGAGGCGGGAGGGCCGCCAGGGGCCGGGCCGAGCCCCCACCGCGCCGCCCGGAATTCCCCGCCGCCTTCCCGCGGAGGCGGGCGGGCCGTGTGCGGGTTGGCACGGGCGGGGCGGGGGCTCCGGCGGGCTGCCCGCTGGGAGGCCGGTAAAGCCCCGCAGACACTAAACCCTGCGGCCAGGTGCTCACCTGAAAGTTCCGGTTTCTTTTGTTTTCTTCTAAGCGTTCCACTCCCGTGTTGCGTTTTAAGGGCAGAGTAATGAGTAATTAATACGATATCAGAAGGCTAGTTGCCAAGGTATATACTTCTCTTCGTGTTCATAAGATTCTCTCTTGCAAAGCACGAATATTTGGATTAATTTTTTTTTAAGCTTTTTGGTCTATGATTTCCCTCCCTCACCCAATATTTATTCACTGATATGTGGAAACCGAGAGAAGACTTCATCCTGATTCAGTCTGGATTTCCTTATCTCTTTACTAGACTGGGAAGCAAGCGATGTGCTAACCGACCTCAACAAGTGATTGGTTAATTTAGAATAAATTTTTAAAAATTATAGAATCATAGAATCATCAAGCTTGGAAGGGACCTTAAAGATCATCTAGTCCAACCATCAACCTAACTCTGACAAAAAAAATAAATAAGAAATAAGCAATAAAAAAATCTCTAAACCATATTCCTGAGGATCATGTCAACCCATCTTTTGAACACCTCCAGGGATGGTGCCTCAACCACTGCCCTGGGCAGCCCATTCCAATGCTGGATAACCCTTTCCGTGAAGAAGTTTTTCCTAGTATCCAATCTAAAGCTCCCCTGGCGAAACTTGAGGCCATAAAAATCTCAGTTTATCAATTATTTCATGATCATCCATAGCTTCTGTTTGTAATTTAGAATGTCTTATGATTGGCTATTTTTTATGTATTCCTTTAAAGTACAACAAAGAATGTTTGGAGTTTGGTTTTGGTTTCTTACTAGCTTTATGCATGCATACATAGTTTTCTTTAAATGCTTTGTCATAGTTTTGTGAGGCATGTTTTTCAAGTTATTACTTGCTTCTGTGGTACCAGAGGGCAATAATGCAACAGTTAGCATCCAGTAGTCACACCAAAAAAAGATACGAGCTACTTAAATCAGACTACATACGTAACTTGGTATGTACGTTAATCTTTGTCAGTGACTGAATTCACGGCTGCATCTCACAGAAATGCATTTATGTTGCTTCAGCCTTTAATCTTGTAGGTTCTCCTGTAATAATTGGAGGACTTGATGGAAACCTAATATGTAGAAAGAAATAACATTTGTTTCATCATCAAAATACAATCCAATAAATCTGTCTTTCGAGCTTCTTCTGTCAGATTTTAAATGTTGCTGCTTCATGATATGAAGCGCTCAGTCAGTTTAAACTTGCTTAGCTGATTCGAAGTTGTTTAACTCTGACAGGTTCCCTTCAAACAGAAGTGCTGCATTACTAGAAGTTTTGTGTATATTATGTGACAGCACACCTCAGAAAGCTAACTTGTAAGGATGACTTGGTCTGGGTAAATTTGTCTGGAGGAGGAACTATAGAGGTTGGAGTCTTACATGAGAACTGGGATGGAAGCAGTGAGCCATACAAAACCATCAATATAGAGCAAAGTATATTTAAAGCTTCTGTCCTAATGTGTTTACTCTTTCTGTCCTTCATCAGCCATTACCCTATGAGGACAATGCAGAGGGGAATTCAGAGCTGATACACTTCATACAGTGAAAGACTCATTACAGGAAGATGTTAGTCAAAACACAATAGTCTTTCTATTCAATAACAACTCTATTCTTCTAATGGTGAAATATTGGCTGACTCTTGTATTTGAGAATTTGTTGATTGATCCTTCTGGTGGTAGGATGAGATTTCCATGAGGACTGAAGAAATCTGTCCTGCCCACTGCATTCATAACCGTTTAGGCATGGGCTCGCTGCAACTGGACTCTTGGGTCGTATTCCAGAGCCACTTCATGGCAATGGATATAAGCTGTACGGTTGCACTTTTCTGCTCTTGTCATAGTTGTTATGCCATCACTACTGCCAACATGACTGCATATTAAACCCAAGCATGTAATTAAACTGGCTGTGGGGGGAAGCACCCATTCAGTTTCTTGACGGGATCCTTGCATCCACTGGTACAAGGGAAAGGGTAGGAACATGCAGCTGCTGCGCAGGGGGGAGTATTCCTTGATCTTAAATCAGCCAAGGAACTGCACTCTTACGTTTTTGGTTTTACGTTGTATTCAATCTATTGGTGACAGTCTACTGCCAAAAGCCGCCTTTTACCTTCTGTGTGTGCTCGTCTGATGTTATCTTTAACAACTGTGTAACCACTGGCAGTTTATTCATTGTTTAGTATTTGTTGGATCCTGAAGAGCAACTAGAAGAACACATGTATCCTCCTGCTTTATGGAGGAGTCCAGGAGGTTTTTTCTGTAAGAGTTGTTGGTGCTTTCCCTAGCACCGGTATCCCAGACAGTAGTTTGCTGTTTCAAATAATTTGTTTTAAAGAGCACCTTTATATCTAGCTTCTCTTTACTGAGCTAGTAAATGGCTATAAGGCAGGCATTTTTCCAATTTTATTTTTTTTAATGCTGCTGTTACGGAATCTAATCTCAAAAAGCAGAAGGATATTTGAAAACTTTCTTCAGGAAAGAAGTTTTATTTCTTTCCTTCTCTTCATGTGTCTTGTAAGTAAAGGTGTTTTTCCTTCTGGCTCTCAAATCTTTTTTCTTTTTTTTTCTCTTTTTGAATCAAATGAGACTTGTGAGGGTGCTTGTTTCATACCAGTAATATTAAGCTAGTGGGTGTCTGACTTCTTGTGCAATTTTGCACAATGAAAAATGTTGGTGGGAGAAATTGTTGATTTTGTAGTATTATATAAAATGAGAGCTTGTTTTTCAAGCACAGAGATGTTATTTGTGACTCATTTTCAGAGAGTAGTAGATACTGAAACTGGAGAGTAGTGAGCAAATGCGGTAATTCTGTTTCGGTGTTGATACCAAGTAGGCTTGCTAATGTACAGATTGAAATAAGACAAATATCATTTACATTTTGGCAGTGCTTGTGTGTAGCCTCTGAATGAGGCAGAGGAAGTTTGGTTTTTGTTTTGATGACTGCAAAAATAAATTGGTCAGTACAGGAGAGGACACTTGATCTTCCAAGGAGGAAATCAAAGTGATGACAGGGCAGCTTTTAGTTTTGACATTGCACCTATAAAATTGTCTCATAAATAAATTAATAGTCAGGTTAGAATTGAGTATGGTTACAAGAGACGGCATGTTTCCCCAGGAAGATGATCTGAGGAAATGTGATCTGATACTAGGCGTTACAGTTCCTGAAGGTGCAAAATGGCACTGCTGCTGAACTGCTGAAGGCAGGCGTCTCTGTTTCATCATACCTGATGTTAACTGACTGTATGTTAGGATCTTTAGACAATGGAGTCCCCTCCCGTGGGCAGTTTGTTCCACCTCTTTCTGTTTGCTCGTTATAGAGAGGATTTAAGTAACCAGTTTATGCTTGTAGGCTGAAGCTGAGCTGCAGGGGGCAGAATCAATTTCCTTTTGCCAGAGTCCTCAGAGTTGCACTAACTCTCCGTTGTGTGTGCAGCATGTTAGAAGTGTGCCAGTTGCTTCAGGTGTTTAATATTCAGTCTTAAAACAAAAGAAGGCAGCCAATAAAGTTGTTGAGAGCGGGTACATGTGTGGATGAAACTGCATGGATTTTGGATGCCAGTCATCTATTGAGCTTGTAAGTGGTGTTTATTTAACAAACATTTCAAACAGTGAGTATATTCATGCTGTTGCTGTGAGGCTGCTTTTACTCAATATATAAAAAACATCAATAAGTGCAATATTTTGGAGTTGTGCCTTATGGATACAAACAGTATGGAAATGTGGCAGTCAGGTAGTCAGTGAGAATGAGTGTGTCTGTAGACTGAGTAGGTGCCGTTTGGTTTTGTTGGTATAATTTATTTTCATTTTTACTTTGTGACTGTTCTGAAATCTGATAACCACAGACCTGATGTAATTAACATTTTCAGTAAGTATTCACCTTATTACTTTACATGAATTAAAACTCCTGAGTTCACTCAAAGAAAACTAATGAAAGGGATAAGTAAATTAGATAACGTGTGGGTTTTTTTAAAGAAAAAAAAATTATACTGAGAAAAATCTCTGCTAGGTAATGCAGTGGCAGCTTTAAAAATTGTTTCATTAACCTTTATCAAAATCGTATAGGTTTCAAATAGAGGCTTCTAAATAAATGGAAAGATTAGCTAATACTAGATTGTTTTGTTTTTCAGGCTTTAGAAAGGATGCGTCCTTACCTGTGTGATAAAATCATAGCTGAGAGACACTTTGATTACCTACGTTCAAAGAAAATACTCACTAGAGAGGACACAGAAGAAATTTCTTCTCGATCTTCCAGTAGGAAAAAAACTGGGAAGTTGTTGGACTACTTAGCAGAAAACCCAAAGGGATTAGATGCTTTGATTGAATCTATCCGACGAGAAAGAACACAAAACTTCCTGTTACAAAAGATAACTGACGTAGTGTTGAAAGTCAAAAATGAAAAACTTGAAGCTCTCAAAGGTAAGTTTATAATAATATTTTGTAAGACGTAAGTTTTATTTTGAGGGTCTACAAAATAAACTTCAACAATTCTTTGAGTCATGTTTCTTTGTACAGTTTTTTTTTTCTTCCTCTAGTGTTTGGGACAACATTCTTGGAAATATTGCTAGTTTGGGTTTAAGATACTAGTGTATGTATCCTGGCTTTGCATTTTTACAATCTGAACACATCATAAAAAACAACTTACAAAAAATCCTTTCATGTGTTGTTATGATGGATAAGTCTGTCCTCACATCTCAGTTTTGCTTTCTATGAGGTTCTAATTCAGAACTCAAAATGTGTGGTTATCTTCTATCTTGGATTTCTTTTGAAGCTATTTACTGGAGTGACAGCATGCTCTGGTTTTGTTAAACTTTGCACCTCAGCAGAAGATAAGCCTGCAAATGCAACCTGAGAGGAATTCTCCTGCATGCCTTCAATGCCAAAACTCAAAATTAGGCACTGTAAATGTGTGCATGCATTGTATCATAAGGGTGGAGAGGTTTTTTTGACCTCCAAAGCTTGAAGTGTCTATATGAATTTGTATTTTAAGGCAAATAAAGCATAAGCCTCCTAAACCAAAAACCTTACTTCCCCTTCCACACCCACCAAAAGAGAAATAAAGAAGGAAGAAAGTAGTTTTTTAAGTCTAGAGATTAAAAGCCTGAAGTTTTCTTTGGGTTCAGGTACAACAGCCTTCAAATGCAGTCCACTGGAGTAGAACCATGTAGTCCAAGCTTTTAAAAGTTTGAAGAACACAGTGAGAAAAATCTGTCAAAAGATGGGTCAAAGGGCCAAAGTGACTTCCTAAAATGAAGCTTAAATTACAGTGTGTCTTTGTCAAATCGTAGCTGATACGAAGATACAGAGAAACCATTTGCATCGGCCTAGATAACCTGCATGTACTTTTTAATTTGTTGTGAATATTGGGATGTCACAGGTGAGATGAAGAGGTTAGTCTGTTAAAAATACTAACAACTGATCTGTGACAATCTTATTGATGCTACATCAGAGCATGGTTTTAACAGCGCACCATTATTGTAATTGAATCCAGTCTCTGTTTTTTGTCTTAGGTCTAAGCTGCAGCACCTGTATGACCTCACTGTATGAAGGAACAAATAATCTTTCTAGATCGTATTCGGATGAATCTAATTTTTTTGATAAAACAAAAGACAAAGAATCTACCCAGATACATCATCCAGAAGAAGATTATAGCACCGCCGCATTTGTGTCTGCTGTCTCCCTTCATTCAATGAATTTGCCAATTGCAGAGATGGGAAACGCAGAGTGTGCTGTTTTCTCAGCCACCCTTCCAGGGCCTGGAGACCCCGGAGCACCTCCCCTGCCCCCCGAGCTCCAGGCAGAGCAGCAGGAACCATCGACTACTTCCAGTGACAATTGCTTTTTGCCTTTAAGATCACGTTCTCTTCAATCACAGTGAACAGTGTGACTTTTGTTTGTTCATCCAAACTTTGAAACTTTGTATGATGTCGTATAAAGGGTAAAAAAAATGTTTTCAACTGCTACCTAGCAAAAGCAGAGGGAACAATGTATGCTATTTACTGTTTTTAAGGAGTATTTTTTTTTTGTAATTGGATGACTCTGGAGCTGCTTGATTTTATTTTCCTTAGGGAGCTTTTTTCAAAAGCTCATGGTATTATACCAGCAAAGGCTTGTTTTTTAAACCAATGTATTTAAGATTTGACACATAGCTGCAGTTATTTATGCTGCAGTTATAGAACAAATGGGGGGTTTTCTTCCTAAGAAAAAATCTGTTTTTCTTAAAGTTTCTGTGACAGGTGAATTGGGAAAGGTGGTTAGGAAAAGTATTAAGCATTGAAAAATAACTTTCTGAACTAAAAGCTTAAACTCAATTACCAAAAAAATTTGGTAAATTACTCATTTACCAAATCGAGTGTTTCCCTGTAGGATAAATTCTGCCTTCTGTGTATGTGTATGCAGCTCCATTTGCAAAAAAACCCACACGGATCTGGCCAAATCTATAGCTATACTTATTTGCAAGAAGTCTCTTAATCATCTGAACTTTGTTCTCTATCCTACCAGTTAAATCAAAAGGCACTTGGTATCGCAGTGATTTGGATTAGCAAATATACTTTCACAAGCCTTAGCATGTTCTTCTTGTATATTAGTTAGAGATTTCTGATTTGAGATGCACTTTAAATATAAATTCTCATTAGTACTGGAAAAGGAATGTAAACTGCTGTAACAGCATCATGTGGGCTATAAGAAAATGTTATTGTATAATGCTGTTAAGGAGCAAAGCTTGTATGTTTTGTCCCAGTAGGTAAGTAGATGAGGAGTCCTGTAGCAAGAAAATATCCATACCTAAAGGACTCTTAGAAATGTTACACTTCAGATATCTACTCTTCAAAGCAGATAGGCAGGTTTACATTTCAAGTTTCTTGGAGTCAAATGCATTTTAAACTATTGCAACATGGGAAGGTTCTCATTTCTTGACACAATGTAACATGCTGTATTCCTCTCATACTCTACTCTTGAGTTGTAATCTAATTTTTATTAAGTTGGCTTATAATAACTTTAAAATTACTAGGTGAAGATAAACTCTTACTTGGAAATGTATACAGCTGTGTTCTGCAGTACAACACTTTAAAGTGATGGGATGTTTTCAGTATATCAAAGGGTAGGTATTTAAGACTTTAAATTATTTTGGCGCTCATACAGTGCTATAGCCATGTAATTCCATTCAAATTCAAACCCAGGTAATATTCCTAAACTGCGTTCTCCTTTTGTGGAAACAGCCCATCTGCAGGACCTTGAGATAGTCTCTAATTATATTTATTTTGGCGCTCATACAGTGCTATAGCCATGTAATTCCATTCAAATTCAAACCCAGGTAATATTCCTAAACTGCGTTCTCCTTTTGTGGAAACAGCCCATCTGCAGGACCTTGAGATAGTCTCTTTTTATATGTTTACTCTGGTTTCAGAAGTAGGTTAAAAGAAACTGCAGTGTTCAACTACACTCCATACTTAGTATATGAATAGCTTTCATTTGATAAAAATGTGGGCTTCTGTTTAGTGTTTAAAAAGTCCTTGTTTTTGTTGTATACATCTAAGGTTGTAGACTGTCAGGACAGTGACAATGCTGTTCAGCAAAAGTGCCTGGTTCAGAAGGCACTCTGGAAGTTAAGTGCCTACATATGCAAGCAAAACTTTACTCTCCAACATGAAATTAAGGGTGGGCTTAAATCCCTCTCTTCCATGAACTTGAACTGTAGTTGCACATACTTGGATGTCTAAAAATTAATTTGTCTAAATGCCCACTGTAATCACCTTAAGAGCTGTGCTTAGGTTTGGGTCCCTTTCTGGATTCTTGTAAATGGAGGGGAGCGAGCAAGCGTGGCCTTCACTGAAGAAGAGCTCCAGCTCGGGGTGCAGCCAGCCTTGCAGATCTGAATCCGAGCAAGGGAGCTGCGCTGCCAGCCCCGCAGCCTGCAGGAAGCCTACCTGTGCAGGGATCCTGCCGTGGAGCCTGTTAGCCTGAGACTTAAATGAATGTATTGTCTTACCAAATGTTTATAATGTGCTTTTTTTTAAAACAAACAAACAAACATTTCTATCACAACTTTTGGAATAAATTCTTTTGTATAATTGCCTGTTTTCCTGTCTGCCACTCATTATTAAAATGTATGGGTTGTAAGAGCAGTTCGTGCCAGTATCTGGATGTGTGGGTTTGGTTTTGTGTGTGCGGGAGGTGTTTGTTCTCACTCTCCTGTTAGAGAGGTTTGTCTGCGGTGGAAAAACTGACTTAATGTGAAACACCTGTGCCTGTAGGACTGCATTCAGGAGCCGTGTGTAGGGAAAACGTGCATGTGAAATTAAGCCCTCAGCTGCCTAACTACAGCCTCTGTGGTTCATGACTGGTATTGCTAACCTGATTCTTGCTTTTCGTTAAATGACTCGATTACCCAACTTCTTAAAGATGTAAGAAGTGTTGCTTTCAGACATGCATATGCATATAAGACTTCATTGTTAAGACTTTTATGAATAGCAGGGGAGAGACAAAACCTTTGGGTGCTGGGGAGCATGACTCAACAAACGATTTGCAAATGTTGCTCACTTCAGTGGTTGTTTTCATTGTACTTTTTGTGTGTACAGTTTCTTTCAAAATAATAATTAATGGTGTTGATTTTGAGAGATCAGCTGGACATGGTTTAGTATCTTTACAGTAAAATAATTGACCCTATTACACCCAAAGCCCATTCCTTGGACCTTATCCTGCTTCTGTGGTAGTGTAAGTAGGCTGAACAGCACCTAGTCAATATTTTCGCTGATGCACAAACAGATATATGGGCTTTGTTGACACGGGAAGTCTAGTACAAGCTTTTTCCAACAGATTTGAAAAATATGGTTTGGTAAGGATTGCCAAAGTGCCGGCGTAAGCTGTGACAGCATAGGCTGTGTTCAAAGCTTTACCTCCTCTGAGCATTAAGGAAAAAGGGATTTTCTCTCTAGTTTGGCCTGCAGATGTAAAAAAAGAGAAACATCTCCGTTTCACGTCCAATTGTCCGTGTCTGTCTGTGGTCACTCGGAGAAGAAACTCCCCGAGTTGGTGGGGGTGAACCCCACACACCCCACCCCGGGCCGCTGCAGAAAGCGCTGCTTTTTCCACCTCCTGCTGCAGCATCCCCTTCGCCACCTGCAGCCCGGGACCCACGCACACAAACACCCGGGGCTTTTCCTCCGGGGGCTCGGCCGGGGGGGGCCGCGACGGGGCCGGGTGTGCCGCGGTCCCGGCGGCAGGCCGGAACCCTCGGCGCGGGGCCGGTTTCCGTGCGGGCGGTGTCGCGGCGGCAGGGCCCCGCCATGGCGGCGGAGGGAGAGGACCCGTTGGCTTATTTCGCGGCCTACGGCAGCTCCAGCTCCGACTCGGAGCCCGACGAGCCCCAGCCCGACGAGCGGGGGCCGGGAGGCGGCGCGGCGGCGGGGGGCAGCCCGGGACGGCGGCCGAAGCTGCCGCCGCCCGACGAGCTCTTCCGAAGGGTGTCGCAGCCGCCCGCCTTCCTCTACAACCCCCTCAACAAGCAGATCGACTGGGACAGCCGCGTCGTGCGGGCGCCCGAGGAGGTGCGGGGGGCGGCCGGGAGGGACTAAGGGGAGGGGGAAAGGCCGGGCCGGGTTGCCCAGGCCCGGAGTGACGGGTGCCCTGCTCTCTCCTGCAGCCCCCCAAGGAGTTCAAGGTGTGGAAGAGCAACGCCGTGCCCCCGCCGGAGAGCTACAGCCCGCCCGAGAAGCAGCCCCCGCCGGCCCCCGCCGTCGACATGGCCATCAAGTGGTCCAACATCTACGAGGACAACGGGGAGGACGCGCCCCGGCAGGCCGGCAAGGCACGGTTCCTGCCGGACGAGGAGCAGGAAGCCCTGGCATCGGGTGAGGGCCCGCCCGGAGGCGGCCGGGCTTCCCACGGGCGTGGGGGGGTTCAGACGTGTGTGGACAGGGAGGCCGGGGGGGTCTGCGAGTGGAGACCTCCCTGTTAACGAGTCGGAGGAGGTTCTCGCTGGGCTGTTCTGCATCCGTGCTGCTGCTGGAGGGTAGGGCTGCAGGGGCGGCCGGCTGTGCTTCTATGTGCCTAGGGTCAGTGAGGGCTCTCCAGCAGCCCCTCTGTTCCCCTCCCACCCGTGTTAGTGGAAACTGGGAATGATTCTGGAGCGCACAACTGCAGTTCTGTGAGACCAACGGGTTCAGGTGTGGCGCTGCTATAACAGAAAGCGGTATGAGAGCATCTTTAAGCACTGCTGGCTTGACCCGAGGTGCAGATCACGGAACTGTCAGAGTTGGAAGGGACCTCTAGAGATCACCTAGTCCAACTTCCCTGCTCAAGCAGGATTGCCCAGAGCACATCACTCAGGACTGCATTCAGGCGGGTCTTGAAGATCTCCAGAGAAGGAGACACCATGACCTCCCTGGGCAGCCTGTTCCAGCTCTGTCACCCTCACCGTAAAGAAGTTTTTCCTTGTATTTGAATGGAGCTTCCTATGTTCCAGCTTGTGCCCTCAGCCTATCGCTGGAAACCACTGAAAAGAGTCAGGCTCCATTATCCTTCAGCCCACCCTTTAGATCCTTGTAAACATAGCTAAGGTCTCCCCTCAGCCTTCTCTTCTCGAGGCTAACGAGCCCCAGCTCCTTGAGCCTTTCCTCATAAGGGAGGTGCTCCAATTAATCATCTTTGTTGCCCTACATTGGATGTAGGGCAGATTGCAATGTTTGCAAAACTTGGGGGCTGAGGGAGGAATTAAAAAAACTGTCCGTGTGACAGATTACTGAAGAAAATATTTACTGTCCTTTTCACTTTTAATCATGATACAAGCTGTAATGGTAGTCTAGGAAATAAAAAAAATAATTGGCAGGAGGGAGGACTTAATTTTTTTAAAAAGCGCTGGAGAAAGAGACTACCCAGTAGCAACCAAGAGAACAAAACCAGAAGAAGAAATTCTGGGTTTTCTGAACATGTGATAATGTTTTGGTTTGCCAGTTGTCATCACACCTTTTCCAAGGACCTTTCTTTTACTGTCTTGTCCATTTTTTCTCTGGGTGTTCCTTCTCCAGTGGCAGTTTGTCTGTCTCTGTCTTGCTCCATTTATTCTGTATGCTTTCCCACCACCAACCCAGTACACGTTTCTCTTAGTCAGCCGTCATCCAGAGACTAAGAAGATAAACTGTTAATTGATCTTGACATTACTTCCTGCTTCTAAAACGTCATTTTCTAGCTTTTTGTCTTATCTGTTAATACATTTTTTAGAATGGGTACTGTACAGTAGCATAACAAGGCCTCTTCTTATTTATCCTCAATGGTCTGTCGTAGTTGTAACAAGTCCACATACTGTCCACATTCCAAAAATGAGGATATCGTCAGTTAATACAACTGTGGTTTTTCTCCAGGCATCTCAGACATCGTTAAGTCAGTTGTTCTGGAATGAGGGTGGTGTTTAAGAGAAAAATACTGTCTTTGCTGACTTTAATTAATTCTGTTATTTATTTAAAGATGGTGAAAAAGATGATGAACCAGCTTCTGCCAAGAAACGTAAACTAGACTCTGGGGAGCAGACAAAGAAGAAGAAGTTGTAAGCAAGGCATGCTGGATTTAGCCATAATGAGAATTTCAATGAACTTGCATTCCTCTGCTGGAATGGGAAACAAATACATGTTTACTGAATTTCTCTCTCCCGTCAGGTAGGGAATTTTATTTCTGTAGTATGCTTGCCTTTTGGAAAGCACAAAATTATATGGACAGTGTTGTGATAGAAACTCGTCTACTGAACAAAATTTAAACCTGTTTATTTAAAAGAGGGATTTAGAAGAGGGATCCATTGTGGTGGATACTTGTGCTGATGCAAGTTACAGGGTTTTGTGGTATTTTGTTTATCAAGAAACCTGGTAACGTGAACTTTTCTGGACTGACTTTTCCATTGTGTCAAAACCTTTTATAAAGGAGTATATACTAAAGACTCTTTAAGTACTGTCCTGTGATATGTTTGCATAATGTTGTTTTGAAGTGTATGTAAAGACTGCACATAGGTCGCTGGAATAAAACTACATTTGAAAACATCTGTGGCATAAATATTGAATTGCATGCTTGGTGAATAGGAGGGATGAATTCTGTACTGTATGCATTTCAATGATGTATTTCTTATGACACAACAGATTCCTCAGGGTTTTGTTTGTAATAAATGCACAACTGCAAACTGAAAAAAAGGTGGACCTTATAGTAGAGTTTAATATTTGATAATTAGTTTTGATGTTATGTGATCTTCGTCCGTGAAATACGAGACTAA